ATTGTTACGTTCACTACTAAATTCCATGAGCCTAGAATAGTATAAAACGTATGTATGCACTAGATATTTATCAAATAAATTTAGTAAATACAAATGTTTAATAATTGATTCACTATAAAATATATAGCCTTTCACTTAAAAATATCACAATAATATGTATCATCTCATGCATGTTTCCTTAACCCTCAAATCTGTATTGAAGAGTAAGTGAACACAGGAACAAGTTTTTGTGTTAAATTTTGTCCCTCAAAAGTTGCCACCCAAAAGCCAAGCACGGGGGAAGCAAAATTCATGGTAAGAATTCTGGGCCCTAATAGGCTGATATATTTTAGTCTGTTGGGCCTGTCAATATTCTTCAAATGCACCACATGAGGAATGTTCAAATTGCATGTAGGGCCATCCCAGACTGTGTTGCTATGATGCTGAAGAAGTTTTAGCAGAACTTCCAGACTATGACAGACTAGGAAGAAAAAGGCCTCAAGATCTACTTTTGAAAATCAGCCAATAAAAACCCTATGAGCCCCAATGGTCTGAGCCCCAACCCATCACGGAGGTGATGCAGGACTAGGCAGTGTTTCGTTCTGTTATACGTGGGGTTGCCATGAGTTGGGAGTGACTTGATAACAGGTGACAGCAGCAAAAAAATATGAAGGAGATGGGGAAAAACTTACACACTAACTACACTAGGGTCATAAGTATCTAATAGTATTCTGTCTGCCTAACACATGAATACTATTTATTGCTTTATAAAATGCTTTCATGTGCTCTCATTTGATACTCAAAACAACCCTATGAGGTAGGATATTCTCATTTTAAAAATGAGGAAATGTAGCCCCAGAATTTAAGTCCAAGTGTCACATAGCTAATAAATGCCAAAATTAGAATTTCATGATTTCCATCTCTAAATCACAAGCTTTTCAGACTGTACCATAAACCTGTAGTGCCTAAGCCAATAGTTTCAACTATTATCAGAAACCATCTGGAAAACTTTTGAAAATATAGATACATAGGTCCCACTCTCCAGAAATTTTTATCTAAACAGTCTTATGCAGGGCCCAAGCATTCATCCATAGTTTGAAATGCTCAACACCAATGTTCATTGCAGCATTATTCACAATGTCAAAAGGTAGAAAGAACCTAATGTCCATCAACAGATGAATGGATAAACAAAACATGGTATGTACATACAATGGGATATTACTCAGCTGTAAAGAAAAATGAAGTCTTAATACATGCTACAAAACAGATAAAACTTGAAAACATTATGCTAGTGAAATTAGTTAGACACAAATGGGAAAATATATATGACCCTACTTAAATGAAATATCTAGAATAAGCAAATATATAGAGATCAAAGTTTATTAATGGTTACCAGGGGCAAGAAAGGGGAAGAGGAAAGCATTAAGTATTTGTTTATGATGATGAAAAACTTGGTGATGAATACTGGTGATGGATGTACAACATGAATAATGTAACTGATGTCACTAAATTGTACTTGAAGTGTTGAAATGGCAGATGTTGTGTTTTGTATATACATGTATTTTACAACAATAAAAGGATTTTTTGCAGGAAAAAAAAATCTTCTTCGAGGTATGTCAAAAGGTACAGAAAGTGAAGGTAAGTAAGTGTTACAATCACTTCTTTAACTAAACCCAAAATTTCCTAGTTTTTTAGGGCAGGTTTTAAACACTTCACTAGCACTATTTGGCTTCTTTTTACTTTTATGGAAATCTGCAAAGATCATAAGGAAGCCACATCAGTTTTGGACATAAGAACTTTTCTAAAAGTTACCTTTATAAAAATGGAAGCAGCAGGCCCTCAAAGGAGGAAAAAAAAATTCTAAATACCCTATGTCAGAATAGGGTCCTATCTGAATGAAACTGGCAATGGCAGGAGGCACTCTCCTCTGGGCATATTTTAGTAATCTTATCTGCTGGGGAAGTGCCTAAGGCATTTGACTGCTAACCAGAAGGCTGGCAGTTCAAACCCACCACCCACTCCTCAGAAGCAAGACTGGGCAATCTACTTCCGTAAAGATTTACCACTTCAGAAACCCAAAAGAGGTCGCTATGAGTCAGAATTGACTCGATGGCAGTGAGTTTGGTTTGATATACACACATGAAAGGAGCCCTGGTGGCAGAATGGTTAAGCATTCATTCAGCTGCTAAGCAAAAGGTCAATGGTTCAAACCCAGCAGTGGCTACACAGGAGAAAAAACCTAGCAATCTGTTCCTATAAAGATTTCAGCCTACAAACCCTATGGAGCAGTTCTACTCAGGGATCGACCTGACAATAAACAGTATACACACAGGAGACCCGGAGTGGTGCAAACAGTTGATGCACTCAGCTGCTAAAGGGAAGTCCACCCAATGGTACCTCAGAAGAAAGTAAGGGCTGGAGATCTACTTCCAAAAAAAGAAGAAAAACCAGCCACTAAAACCCTAAAGAGCACAGTTCTACTCTGACACACATAGAGTTGCCATGGGTTGGCAATGACATGACAGCAACTGCTACTTTTTTTTAAATACAATTTGCCAAGATGCTAAATTATAATAGAAGGAAAAATCAGGCAAACTGGGGAAATTGAGAATCAATGCATTTGTTTATACAACAAATATTTACTGATTATCTATCTGCCAAGTACCAGGCTCTGTTCTAAAATTCAAGATTAACAATGGTGAGTAAGTGCTTGTGTTTCAGAACTTGTAAACTACATACAGGCAGTTCCTGGGTTACTAATACCTAACTTACTGACAGCTGGTACTTGCGTTTTAATGTTATGTAAATTAGCCCTAGCTCTGAAAAGATTAAGGAGCTCTGGTGGCACTGTGATTAAAGAACGGGCCTGCCAACAAAGGGTTGGAGGTTCGAAACCACTAGCTGCTCTGTGGGAGAATGCTCAAGTAGGCTGTTTCCATAAAGATTTACTTTAGGAACCCTATGGGGCAGTTCTACACTGTCCTACAGGGTTGCTATGAGTCGGAACTGACTCAGTGGCAATGGGTTTGGTTTTTAGTTTGAAAAGATTATTATGTTCTTGTGGCCCAATGATTAAGGCATTTGGCCACTAAACAACAGGTTGCCGTTTGAACTCCACCAACTGCTCTGTGGGAGAAAGATGAGACAGTCTGCTTCCATACATGGGACAGTTCTACTCTGTCCTATAGGGTCACTATGAGTCGAAATCAACTCAATGGGTTTGGCTTTGAAAGACTGAACCAACACCTACTCTCAACAAATTCTTCATCACAATCACCTTCACTTGCTACATATACAGCTTTGAAATCACTGAAAAGGCTTCAAGGCTTTTCTTGCACAGAAAAACCAAACAACCAAAGCCACTGTCATTGAGTTAATTCTGACTCACAGCAATCCTGAAGGACAGAGCAGAACTGCCCTATAGGCTTCCAAAGGCTGTAAATCTTTATGGAAGCAGACTACCTTATTACTCTCCTGCTGGGCGGCTGATGGAGTCACACTGCCGACTTTTTGGTTAGCAACTGCAGCTGAATGCTTTACCCACTGTGCCACCTGAACTCCTTGAACTAAAGTAAGTCTAAATAATTACTGACTGCACCCATTCTGACTTACCTACAAATGGGAATGCACTTAAGAACATATCTCACTTTTAACTTGGGGACTGTCTGCATGTAAGGAAGTGGCAGTCAATATAATTTCAGACTGTTAACCTGAAACAAGGGTTAGGTTAGCCATCTATCCATCACTCAGCTGAAAAAAAGTTAGTGATATGGTTTCTATCAACTCAAAAAAACTGAACCAAACCAAAACCACTGCCATTGAGTCGATTCCAAGTTATACCGACCTCCACTGGGTTTCTGAGGCAGTAAATCTTTATGGAACTAGATTGCCCTATCCTTCCTGCATGGAGTGGCTGGTGGGTTTGAACCACCAACCTTCTGGTTAGCAGTCAAATGCCTTAGGCACTGTGCCACCAGAGCTGCTCTCTATCAACTTAAGTGTCTCACAATTCTAAGCAGCAAAGGACTCGGGTGGTAGTGTATGTTCTCTTGGGTGATGTGGTCTGGGTGTGGCAAAGCCACAAATATTGAACTGGGTATAATCTCAATTAAGGGAAGTACTTTTAGCATTTTACAGTTGGAACTTAATACAAAGAGCTGTAGCACTTGCTGAACAGGGTGGCAAGTGATGTCTATCCAGAGTAGTAACTCCAAACATTATGCACAAGCCTGTACAACTGGCTATACCTGGAGGACCCGGCCATAGAAAAATGAAGATTATGGGTCTCCAAAAAATCATGGTAGACCCATAAACTAGAATTTAAACAGCAGAGGGCAGTGCAACCGACTGCACATGAAAAGCTTTAACTACTGGAGCCCCCCAAAATGGGCAACTGGCTTCAGTATAGACTGAAACTTCCTCAATGAACTCAACGAATCGAATCGTTAAGTAAGCTAATTGCTCACGCTGGGATTCTTACGGCTTTTTTCCATAACATCTGCTCTGGTTTGACCGTTAAAGCTCCCTTGTGGATATTCTGCCTTTACAGTTTGGGAGTGGGAATGGGAGTGATGAGGGGAGATGTTTATCCTTGGCTTGGGTAAAGAGCCTTTCAATTGTAGGAGGGTCATTCCCCTGAAAGATAATCTGCCACTTCTTGCCAGTGACATTGCTGACAAACAAGTTACAACATAGTCCGGGGGGTGGGGGAGGAGCAAGTAAAAGAAACTGAAACTAATTATGTGAGTTATTGATAGGAGGCCACTCTCACTTTAAAACAGCCTACCAACAAAATTAGACGCCACTCCTTAACTAAGTTTCGCTCTAAGTCACGAACAGAAGCCACACGCCCTGTCCTCCGCCGAGTATGAACTTGAAACTTTCTGGCCCACACACGGCCCCTCGGCCGTGGAACTCCTCCAGGCACGCCGGGCTAGTCTCAAGAAGAGCCTCGAGGCCGGGCGCCGGCCGAGCCAGAGCGACGGTCCGGGGCTCCCGCTCTTCCCCAAAGCTGCTCGTACCTGTCCAGCATCTGCTGCTGCAGGGCTTGGTCCGGCATCTTCAGCGGAGCCGGCGCACTCAGCCGTCCCCACTGGACCCGGTCAGGGCCGGGCCCAGGGACAATAGCACGGAGAGGCGGCGGCGGCAGAGTAGGCCTCAGTCTGGTGGTAGGCGCGAACCCGCCACTCAGCCTTCTGGGGCGGCTCCGCGAACCCGGCAGCTGATATGCGCGGCCTGCGGGCGTCTGGAGCTGGCGGTGGGAGCGAGAAGGAGGAGACTAGGGCGGGGAGGCGGCGATCGCGGCCCGGGTTCTTACCCGTCGGCCCGTGGTTCCGGTCCATGGACCGCGGGCGCCGAGTAGCTGCCGGTGGAGGAGCTACCTCTGTGAGGTAAGAGTCACCGCCTCCGTGCGCGCCGGGGTCACGACGCAGGGCGGCCCAGGGCAGCCTGGGAGATGTAGTCCTCGGACGGTCCCTGCTGGCGGCTGCACAGCCCTCCCCGACCACCGCCGCCGCCCGGCCGGCGCCCTCCGGTTTCCTTCCTTCAGGGGGAAAAATGTCCTTCGGGCCGCTTTCCAGGAAGCAGGAGGATGTGTCGCTCCACTGTCAGTAGCAACAAGGTCAGCCCTCCCTGCCTGTTTCTTTCTCCCCGCACCTCTCGCCCTCAGGTGGGACCGCGCCAGGTGAGGGGAGGGAGCTGGAAGGGCCATTCCTCGCTAGGGTCCACAGCCCCGGCCCCGGCGTCGGGGCGGGATGTGGCGGGAATGGGGGTAGCAGAAGTCGCTTTTGAAGCCCTTGACGCTGAGGCCAGCCTCGCCGTCTCTGAACCGTTTTGGAGAGTTATACAATCCCCGCGAGGGGTCGGATGCTCTGGTGCGTGAGGTTTTTCTTGGGGGGTCGGCAGTGGGGGCTTCCTCGACCGTGAGGTTTCCAGTCATGTCTCTCAGTGTGTTGGGGCGGGGGTGGTAGTGAAAAGATTATTCTCTCCCTCACAAGGAACCTTCTAAAATGTGCCTGGGTTTTCAGAGCTCGCCGACAGTATCCAAATGGAACATGTTCGTGAATAAACACATCTTGCTTACTCAGCTGTGGGTTGTCAGGGATGTTTGCTCCTCTCTGCTGCGGGCTACTGTTAACCATTTCTAGTCACCTTGACACCTACAAACAGGTGGATAAGGGGAATCAAAAAGAAGAAACCATAAATCACTCATTGGGTCATTTCGCTGACGCTCTAGGAATAGCTTTGGAGGGAGGAGAGAGCTTTGGCTAAAAAGAATGCGTATCTTGGACGACCTGTGGCGTTTTCTAGTGCTGTGCTTGGTAGGATGTCTGGTAGATTTCTCTTGGTTATGCTTCATTTCTTCTGCAAGGTGACTGATTTTACTTTAAATTAGAACGTGTTTTCTAAGCTCTTGTTTACGTAGAATTTTACAATCAGCTCTTCATTCTCTGTTCAAAATCGGTTGAATATATTTGAACTAGCGTGTACGCTGCCAGGAAAAAAAAAAAAATACTATGTCACCAGAGGTTTAATTGGTCTCCCATTTCTGAAGGATGCTTTTATCAAAGGCTTTGGGATAATTTATATAACTAACATAATTAATGGTCTACTTTTTTCTCATGAAATGAGAAACAAATCCCCACTAACCAAAACCCCACTGTCACAGAGTCGATTCTGTGACCCTGCAGGACAGAGTAGAACTACCCCATAGGGTTTCCAAGGCTGTAAATCTTTATAGAAGCAGACTGCCTCATCTTTCTCTCCCGGAGCAGCTAATGGGTTGTAGCCACCACCCTTTTGGTTAGTAGCTGATGCATTAACCACTGCTCCACCAGAGCTCCTAAGCCCCTACTAAGGAAGGCAAATGAGTATTTAGTTTAATCAGGGTGTCTAATATTTTAAACTCCTATTTGTTGCTCTTTGTATAAGTATCCTCTTACCATATATTTATCTCTTAAGCAATTATCAGCCACAGAAAATTGCTGTATACACTCGGCTTAAAAACAGAATTTGATCCCAGTGTACCCAGTGTACTGATTAAAAAAAAAAAAAAAAACTCACTCCCATAGTGACCCTTCCTCGGGTTTCTCAGGCAGTATCTCTATGGAAGTAGATTGTCCAATCTTCTTTCCAAGGAGTGACTGATGGATTTGAACAAACTCTATTTAGTTTTATGATTTAAGCTAAAAGGAATTCTCACTTCATCTTAGAATTTCTGTTCTGAGAGTAGATTTTCTATTAGCCTTTTTATGGGGGGGAGAAAGAAAACAGTTTCTTGGCTCTGTCAGAAACCCTATGAAACAGAAAAAAATTTTTCAGTTATTCATCTTAAGAGTAATTAGCACCTGCCCAGTAGTTCTACTCCTAGATATATCCAAGAGAAGTGAAAACATGCATCCACACAAAGACCTGTACATGAATATTCATAGCAACATTTTTCATAATAGCCAAAAAGTAGAAATAATTCAAATATCCATCAATCGATAGATAAACCAAATAGAATTTATCCATATAATAGAATATTATTAGGCAATGAAAAGGAGTAAAGTCACCCAGAGGCCGAGCCCCTGCCCAGGCCTATCGCCTGTGCTCAATATCCAGATATGAAGACCAAAATCCCATTGGGAAAAACCTACGCCTTGTTATTGTCATTCAAATGCCCTCTCCACAGAGTTGAATGAAGTAATTTTCATTTGTATTTGTACTAATACAATTGACCACTAACTTTAAATATTCATATCATGTCATCTTCTAAATGTCCTAAATTGAGCAGATATGATTGGTCACAGCCATTGTCTTTCTGTAATTTAACGTACATTTCCCAAACATGTAACTATTCATTATTTGCTTTGGCTTTTGCATTTACCCTTTCATGATGCACATGTGCCTGATGGGCTGATGGAACATCCCCTTTCAGTGCAGCTAGATTAAAAGGATGGAGCTCTTTGTGACTGTCTCCAGCAACAGATGACTTATTGAAAAGTTTATTAAATTATCAAATTACTTATGATCCACCCTTACCTACATATATTACATATATATTATGTATTACATATATATTACGTAAGCAATTAAAATACTTTTAATGATTAAAAAAAAAGAAATAAAGTTGATATGTGGTAGAACCTTGAACACAGTATGCTAAGTAAAACAAGCCAATTACAAAAGAAATGAAAATGTGATTCCATTCATATGAGATGTCAAGAATAGGCAAACCCAGATATATATATAGTAGATTAGTGGGCCTGAGGAGCTGGGGGGAAATGAGGAGTAACTGCTAATAAGTACAGGGTTTCTTTTTTGGGTTTTGAAATGTTCCAGAATTAGATAGCGGTGATGCTTGCACAATTTTGTGAACGTACAGTCATATGTTGTTTAATATCCACAATATGTTCTGTGAAATAGGTTATTATGTGATTTGAAAGTTGTGCAAATACCGTATTATATACAGGAAGTTCCTGGATTATGAATGAGTTCCATTCCTGTCTGTCTTTAACTCAAATTTGAATATTAATCATATGGTTTGTCTCTAACGTCAGTTAGTTAAATGTTTGTTTTAATATATAGTGTACCTTTCTATGCATGAAAAAGATTAAAGCAACACTTCTGGATACACTAAAACATCTTTAATGTAATAATACAGTAATAATAATAATGTTTTGATGCATGTCACAAAGTTGTGCCCATCTGTTATTACAAATCACTGTAAGTATATCACATATTTAATTTAGGATTTATGGGGTTTGGGGCCATTGACGTATGTACAGTCAGACATTGCCAGTATGTTATGTGGCGCATGATTGTACTAAAAACTACTGAATCGTACACTTTACAAGGGTGAATGTTATGGTTTGTGAATTATATCTCAATTAAAAAATAAAAAATACGAAAGGAAACTAAATTCAATTATGGTGATGGTGGCGCAACTCTAAATATACTAAGAAAATATTGAATTATGTACAGGTAGTCCCCAACTTAAGGTGGGGTTCTGTTCTGAGGACTCCACCCTAAGTCAGTTCTGACATAAGTCAAATACCTTATTCTTTAATTTTTCATTATTATTACCTTTTTTAAAATCAGTGTCTTTATAGCTCATAACACTGAACATCTGCCAGTTGGAACATCTGAGACAGATAACATCAGCAAATTATGTGCTACAACATTGTATGTAGTATGTATTACTAACAATAAGATGTACAAAAAAAGAAATACTCACAGATGGTGGTGTCTGCAGTTCCACATAACCTGAATACTTCTTAAGTCCGGGACTACCTGTACTTAAAATGAGTGAATTTCATGGTATGTAAATTACATCTCACTAAAGCTCTTAAAAAAATTATTCCCCATATAAGATATTCATGAAGTCATTTAAGAAGAAACATATCACTTGGTAATTCCTAATTGTCAAACTGTTCTTTTAGTAGTCTCCAACTTATGGTGGGATTCTGTTCTGACAACTCCATTGTAAGTCTGTGCTAATGGAAGTCAAATACCTTATTTTTTAGTTTTCATCATTATTGCCTTGTAAATCTGATCTTTATTTATCTTTGGGGGTTGGGAACATTACATATAAACTTACAAATATATTTTGTACATACATACATTTACAAAAAAAAAAAAACCCCGACTCAAAGCGACTCCCATTGGGGTTCTAAGGCTATATAAATCTTTACGGAAGTAGATTGCCCCATGTCCATTCCATGAAGCGTTTGGTGGATTTGAACTGCTGACTTTCTGATTAGCAGCCAAATGCCTTATCCACTACTCTACCAGACCTCCTTACATACTTATGTTATTGTTGTTGTTATGTGCCATCAAGTCAGACCCGACTCATAGCGACCCCTTCTTGGGTTTCTGAGGCAGTATCACTACAGAAGTAGATTTCCCAACCTTCCTTCCGAGGAGTGGCTGGTGGGTTTGAACCACCAGCCTTCTGGTTAGCAGTCAAGTGCCTTAGCCACTATGCTACCAGAGCTCCCTACATACTTATATACATTTAAGAATACACAAATCATAAAAATGTATTCCACTTGTGGAAGGTTCTGCATCATCTGAATTATCCCTGAGAATTAGGATGGGCATCATTTCTAGTCAGAAAATTATTGAGCGATGTCTCTATGGTCCTTTTATTTTTTTCTTTATATATTTTGCAATAATGTCTCACTGCTTCCCAGATCTGTCTGTTGATTTTAGCAAAGTTATCAGTGTTGGGTCCATGTTTTCAAGCACTGAAGCATTGATTTAGTTTGCAATAAAAACTTCAGCTACTCCGTACACTGTAAAATTTTTGGAAAACTTTTTTCCTTCCTCTTCTTCATTATTTCTTTCTTCTACAGCACACCTTTCCTCTTCAATATCCATTAAGTCATCATCTGTCAATTCCCCTTCTTCGAGG